TATTCCAACCTGACTGAAAAAAATTAAAGAGTTCAAATAATTTTTTAAAAAACAACATAGTAAATTAATAAGCTGCACTATATTATAAATACTAAGGGAAACTCAACAACTTCCTACTAAAAAAAAAAAAAAACTAAGTTGTTCTTAAAACACTGTCTGGAATCCATTATGATCCAGTAGCTCCTTCCTAGAAATTTATCCTAAAATGATCATCATGTGTATGTGCAAAGACTTACATATAAAGATGTTTGCGGAAAAATTAGAAGAAGTTAGAAAGGAACCAAAATAGACAGAATTTCCTTGGGATTTCATTGAGTAAATTATGGTACATGCAAACAAGTTAATACTGTGCAGATATTAATGACTGCTCAGGCTTATGACCCACTGCTGAGACTTACAATCTGTCTCTTTTTTGTGTACAGTTCTGTACATCTTTTTTATTGAGCTTCAATATCTTTTTTGTGTGCAATATACCTTGTTTATATAGTAGTCATTTTTGCTGATTTTACTGTTCAATACAGTACTGCAGTTTTTTGTTCTGTTATACATTACAGTACTGCATGTAAGAGTGATGCAGATAAAAGCAAAGTCATCAAGTTGGAATTCCTTTGACCATTTCTTTGTTCCGAATATTGTAATGTACACATTATTTACAATTCCTCATTTAGCAACCAATTCATTTAACAACTTAGTTGCAGGAAGTTACCTCGGTCTGTTAAATGAGGAATGTCTGTACTATTATTACTTTTACATGAGGCGGGCGGGGGGGGGGTGTGTGACTTTTTTTCTTTGCTAAGTCGTTACATTGACCACCCTGGCCTTGAATTTGCATCCCTCCTGCCTCATCTTCCCAGAGTGCTGGCATTATAGGAGTCGGCCATCAAAAAAACTAACTCTACCAGGAAACTTTCAGAAGCCAGATTAGTGAGATCAATAAATACAGTACATGAGTTCAAAAGAGATCAGAGATACCCTTGGTGCCAACCTGGTAGCCATGGTGGATATATAAGTGAGGTTTACCACCTGCTCTTTAAGCCCTTAGTCCCAGCATGTGTGGAAGCAGCCCTTCCTCTGACTAGCCCACCAAGGTCCTCAGACTGGACACAAGAACCATGCACACAAACCCCATACACTCCCAGCTCTCCCCACCTTCCCTCATTTTCCTTACATCTCAGAAGAAATAGGGATACAGTCTTTCACAATTAAAGATTCAAAGGCTGGTATAGCATCATTTATGGTTCCCCAAGAGCTGAGCAGTTGTGGGCTGGGAAATGTTTAACAACTAACTAGCTGGAGAGTGTGAGCCAGCAAAGGAGAAACACCTGATTCATAGTGTTTGGTGACTTCTGTGATATAAATATCCCACCATAGATGTTATCAAACTAACAACATGACATCACCTGGCTCACAAAATTCTTGAATATGTGATAATTGGCTTTCATGAGCAGTACTAGTTGGCTCACTAGTTGTAGTTGGCTCCAGCATTACTCTGGGTGTTTCTATTCTAATGAGACACAAAAACTTACAGCCAAATGAATGATTTTGCACCAGAATTATTGGCCAGCAAAGCTCCAGGGTTATTTTGAAAGGCAAAGAGCCACTCCCAGTATCTTCTACAAAAGAGCCTCCAGCTACTATGTGTCTGCATGGTGACAGCTTATGTTTCAGCAGGATGCAGACTCCAAGGCCAGTTACCCAAGGTGTGAGTCCAGGACCAGCAGCATCAGTACCCTCAGAGAGCTTGTTAGAAATGCAGAACCTCAGGCCCACCCCGACCTGCTGCTTTTAACAAGAGCCCCAAGTGATCTGTGTGCACATTCCTGCTTGAAAATCATGGCCGTTTCTAACTCAACATAAGAGAAATGGAGATATAACTACCTTAATTAAAGCCCCCAACTGGAAAACCAAGTACTCCTTGCTATTTGGAAGGTAATTTGGATGTAAGGATAGGCAATTCTCCCCCTCCACAAGCCTCTAGGCATAGCTTAACATTTCCACATTTTCCATTTCAACAATGGGGCATGGAGCAGTGACAAGTCCTCCCATCTCCGCTCCCTTCCCTGTCCGCAGTGCCACAAAGCCCAAGCTCTGAGATTCCGCATGAAGTAGAGAAATATAGATTCCTCAAGAGCTGCTATTCAAGCCATCGGCAGCATGTGCCAATGTTCCTCCCACAATCCTGGTTCAGTCCCCATTAAGCTGCACATCTGGCTGTCACACACTCTTTTGTGGGGCCATCTCAATGGCAGCACTGATGCAGCCTCTCCCCGGGGCCAGCCCCACAGTAGCCTCCCTGTCCTCCCAGCATGTGATGTCATAAGCATGAATGTCCTGCCAAACATTTAAGATGTTGCAGTTCACATTGTGTACATTGTATAGAGAAACAGTAATGCCCAGATATTTTTAATTTAAAAAAAAGAGCAAGATACAGCCAAACCTTGTTCTGTTACATCAAACCACCAGTTCAGCACAGATATGTAACTTGTATTCTGTAATTTTACAATCTTTTCTTGTTGTTACTGTCATTGTAATTAACATCCCTAGATTCAGCGATTCTCTTAAAATATTCTTTTCTCTAATTTGGTTTCCATCAAATTCTTGGAAAGCATGCATAGTACTGGGTCATTCTTAATTCAAAAACCCCAATATGCAGTCTCTTCAAAACAGGCTGTAGAGAGAGCAAGAAAGGCTGGTCTAAGTCTCAAAATCATCTCACCCCTGATGATCATCAAAGAGAGAACATGGGACGACCTCAGTCACACTACAGAAAAGGATGAGGAAGAATCTATCTGTTCACTCTTTCTCAAAATGTGGTGTGAAGACCACCTCATCAGAATCACTGGGATGGCAATAAAAATGCAAAATCTTTGGACTGCACCCAGATCTACTGAGTTCATCTGGAGAAGTGAAAAGAATGAATCTGCATTTTGCCTGACTCTCTGGGAGTAACTGTTAAGTTGGAGATGGGAGTTTCAGAGTTAAACAGGCTTAAATTCCTCTTATTTACATATAGTGGCTCTACGACCTTGACAAAAAAACCTAAACTCTCAATATCTTTTCCTTATCCTTACAATGGGGATGGTAGGGGAACACTGGACGCGTGAAGTTCCTGACACAGACAGAGCTCAACAGCTTGAATTCCCCTCACCCTGCTGTTTAGGTAGAATACTTTAGGTCTGCCATTTTCACATGCAGTTGGGGGTCACTGTCTGCACCAGTATGAAGGTTTATTGGAACTGTTCAATAAATCATAATTGCCAAGTTCTTATGGAGCTCTAAAGACAGTAGATAAAATAAGATTGAATCCCTTACTGAGACAGAATCTATTATTCTACAGCTTGCTGTCTAATCCAATAGCCTATGGCCACTTGTGGCTAGTACAAATTGAGATTTGTTATAAGAATAATGTATATGCTCTAGATGCCAAAAGCTTAACACAAAATAAAGAATATAAGGGTAGAAGTGAGGTCACACACTATAATCCCAGCTATTTGGGAAGCTGAGGCAGAAGGATTGCAAATTGAAAACCAGCCTGGGAAAGTCCTAACAAGACCTTGTCTCAAATTTTTTAAAAAAGGAAAGGGGCTGAGGATGTAGCTCAGTGCTCCCTTTGTTCAATCCCCAGTAGTACACTCCAAAAAGGTATAAAATATCCCATGTTTCAATTTCATATTGAGATGATATATTTTGGATATATTCTATAAAATAAAATGTATTAAAATTAACTTCACTTGTCTATTTTTGCCTACTAAAAATTTTTAAATTGCATATGTGGCGCACATATTCCTATTGGACAGTGCCATCCTAGAGAAATATCTGCCCTCCTCCCTCAAGCTGATAATAAACCCTAACACTGCACTTACAACCTGCAAAATGGGATTCCCTACCAATTCAGGCAACATTAGCCAGGGGAGCTTTGCAGTCTTCCTCTCATGCTTCAGAGGAAAGTAGGGCTCAGGCAGTATCCTCCCTTTCACAGGAAGCAAGTAGACGCCTCAGGCAAAGAGCCAAGTGAGTCAAAACAGCAAGTCCCTCAGAGAAATACGGTATAGTATCTGGAGATGCTTCCAGTCGGTTGTGAAGGAGGGAATCAGAGAACCCAAAGCCTTGCTTGTCTGTTCCCTCTGTGTCCCTTGTGCTCCATTCACGTCCATAATCATCTTATCCTGACAAGTCTGAATAAGGTGAGGAGGGTCTTCCAATAGAGTCGCATGATTCATACCCTTACACAAACTGTGTGATAGCTAAGCAAATATTTTTGTCAACATGAAGATTGTCCTTTCTGATAGTTCATTAAAAAATAGTTTCCACCTGGTACTAATATCCTAATGTACACAAATTTCTGTACAAAAAAAAATAAAAGATAAGCCCCAAATGGATATTTCCAATGAGGAATGTTTGCCAGTTATTACACAATCAGCTGATGAAATTGGTATTTTATTTGGAAAAAGTCTGCCAAACTGGATTGTAATATATTTTCTTTGACCAGGTCCATAACTTGACAGTTTCTGAACTAGGAAACAAGTAAGTCAACTGGGTGTGTCTTTGTCCTAAATTTATGAATATCTACCTGTATGTTTGAATAAAATATTGTACATCTAGGTATTATAAGTACAGATTCAATAAATGAGTTTGATTCTCCCTTTATACTCAGCTAATTTACTAAATATTATTAATATACTAAATATTTAGTATACATAAAGGAGTTTAACTGTGTAATGCTTAGAACTCGGACTCTGATTGCTCCATTTACCTATGATTTAAGGACCCCATAATCTCTTCACTTGAATAACATACAGAACATTTATTTTACATTTTCATGACCATACATTACCATCATGATACAGTGAGTAAAATATAACCTTTCAATTACTGAAGGCAATGCAGAATGACTTGTTCCTAACTCACTGATCAGGTTCCCTTAAAATTACCAGTAGAGATGAGAGATTTTTTAAATCAGTAGATGATCCCTCTGGATACAACAAAAAATTGAAGGCCGGTTTTGCAGACAGTTTGTTATTTTATTGCACAGATTTCTCTTAAAGAACAAAATGCACCATCTATGTTTGGAGAATCTGGGGTCTCGGACACTGATAAACCATCAGCGTTTACACCCGTAAAGCCAAATTCAACAGTATAGTTTATGTTAAACCGCATTGCTGCAAGATAGATACCAGAATAAAAACAGAGAAAGAAAGGGGGAAAAGCTTTAAAACTGTGTTAATTCAAAGCACATGCAGGATTAAAAACTACATCATACAAACCTGGAAATCAAAACTGTTTTGTGGAATGTCAGTTAAAGTTACACTCACTTTTACTGTTATTTATTGCCTAATTAAAGTCTACTTGGTTCATTTCCTTCATACTGTTGAATTGAGAATTTCAGGAAAACAGTGGTTATAAAAATGATCAATCTTGAAAAATTATGTACAGGTAAATGTAAAATCACAAACTAAAAAATATCCCTACCCCTTGCCCTCTACTTATAAAAGGGAAACTCTCCCAGGAAGAGAAAGTCCCACAATTCCCCTCCCCCCACCTCTGTCCCCATTTGGTCTGTCACCATCTCTTTTGAGTAAATGACCTTGGAACTGAAGAGGAGGGAGGGAACACAGAGGCATCTTTATGAGGCTCCTATTGTCATCTGTCACAGTTTGAAAAGTGTCTTTTATTTCTCTATCCCACCCATTCCCAAATCAGCAATGTTTGTGAAACATTTAAAATTTAAAGAGAAACAAAAAAATGTTTAATAAACAAGAAAGGAATCCCAGGAGAAGAGCTAATAGTGGGCATTACCATGAGAAAACTGTACAGGCATTATCTGAGCTAAAGGTTTCTTTTAAGGGAAACCCAAAGGTGGCAGAGGTGATGTTAAGACTACAAAATGCCAGGTGGGCTGCTTTCTAGACTTTGGCTTTGGTGCCTGGCAGAGAAGTGGGCTCCCCGCTCCCACTGCGTCAAGCAAACCTAGGGCTCTGGGCCCAGCACCTACAGCACCCCGTGGGCAGCCTGGCAGCTGGCTTATACGTGGGCACTCTTGGCATGAGTAGGCGAGCTGGAGCCGGAAGAGTAGTACAAACGGTTTTCACCAAACGACTGGGCGTCTCCAGAGCAGCAAACGATGACACAGCCACCCACGAGGCACAGCACAGCACCGATCCAGCCCGCGTACAGGGAGTAGCCAAAGCTCACAATGGTGGTCTCACGGTGGGCGCACACAGGGAACCAGATGGTGGCGACAATGGCGCAGAGAGCTGGGGAGACACAGAGAGAGGCGTGACATCGGTACCCACCCCACGCTCCGTGCAGAGCGCAGGCGCACACTCCACAGACACTCGCCTTCCAGCCAGCTCCGTAAGGACTTCCTCAGCAAAACTTGGAATTGCTCTGCTCCCTCAGCAATTGAAACCTAAATGTTTGCATCTGCAGAGTAAGCTAACAGCTTGTGTCCAACTTACTTTTTCTACCGGTGGCAGAGACTAAAGAACTCCCACATAAAAACCAAGAAGTAAATCATTTAAGACTAAAAAATATTTGTATCTTTTTACTTACATATCAGCCCTTTGTATCTGTAGTTCCAATTCTATTTTCTTCATTTACCTAATCACATTATAATTACCTCATTGTGTATCTATCGCCCATCCTAGGCTCCGAGTTCCTTGAAGGAAAGGGTCATGTCTTATTTATAGCTCAACATTTGTGTTTAGCTCAGTATCAGGCATATTGTGTGTGCCCAACATACACTTAAATAACTGAGCCATTCAGAGATGGAAAACAAGATAGGATTCACCACAATTTTCCACTCTATTTTGTCAGTTTGGTCAATTTATATTACAAAGACCTGCAGAAGCCATGCAGTTTCTCTTGCTGTGGCAAAGATGTAAGTGGAGTACCAGTAAGGGCTTGAATTTTTGTTTTGCTATTCACAATCACAAAATCCCAACACACAAATAAACAATCCTTAGAGTAAAATAACTCATTTATTCGCAGATTTCATGATGATATTTGTTATGATAAATCGTAATGGTAGAATTTTATTTATTTTCTTGCACCAATCATCCCAACCATCAGATTTATAGATTTAAAAAATTAATCTATAGATTTAGAGTTCATAGATTAAGAAATAGATTCTATCACAGTTAATCCTTCTTAAGCAAAATAATAAAACAAAAGCAAGCAAGAGCCTATGCAGACAACTTTTTAAAAACATTTAGACTAGAACTTCCAGTAGGGTGGCCAAAGCTACACGGAGCCATTGAACATTTGTCATGAGGCTAATGAGACTGAAGAACTGAATTTGGAATTTTAATTAATTTTCATTTAAATGGCCACATGTGGCTAGTGGCTATTTTATTAGGCAATATACCTCCAAACAAAGTTAACTCAGTGACTTCCTTTGGTATCATCTAATTTCTCACAACTACAATCAGGACAGAGATTTTAGTTAAAATTTCAAGTTGAGGAGCCAGGAACTTAGCTCAGTGGCACCACACCTGCCTTGTAACCACAAGGTTCTGAGGTTGATCCCCAGTACTGGAAAAAAAAGAAAAAAAACTCAAGTTGAGATGACATATTAAATTTGGCAGACACGAAACTATTAATAAGGGGGTTTCAGTTGTTAACTATAAAAGCCATCAACAAATTCAAAACAGAATATTGCATTGCCAATCTGATGTTTAATACTTTGGATACCCTTTTCACTTTCAACTCAGCAAGTTTTTTTCCTGATTTTCATTCATACTGATTTTTTTTCTAACTCAACTTTTATGCCCAAAGAGAAGAAATACAATTTTTCTTCAATATAAGCACATAAGTATAATGGTCAGCACATTCACTCTAAACTGAAGAAAATGAAAGTTGTGAAAGACCTTTAAAGTTTCTCATTGCAGGGCCAGGGATTTAGCTCAGTGGTTCTGCTGCCTGCCTCACAAGCGCAAAGTCCAGAGTTCGATCCCCAGTACCAAAAAAAAAGTTTCTCATTGCACTTATATAGTTTGTAGCAAAGGTTTTTGTTAGCACCAGAATAAACTCACCCCCACAAATTGAGTATAGATACATAAATAGCCATGATTCCTATCCTAAAAATGTGATGCCCAAGTGTAAGTCAGAGGCAAGAGGGGAGATTTGAACTGCCCAGATTGGCTTGTTTGGGGTTTTTGTTGTTGTTGTTGTTGTTGTTGTTGTTGTTGTTTGGGGGTTGTTTTGGTTTTTTGAGACAGTATCTTGCTTTGTAGTTCAAGATGTCCTTGAACTGACCATGTAGCCCAAGCTGGCTTCAAACTCACGGGAATCTTCCTGCCTTTGCCTCCGCAATGCTAGGATTACAGGCATGTGCCACCTTGCCAGGCCAGATGGGTTTTCTGTCACCCTAAATTCACTCCCTTAATTGTGAACTAATTTTCACAACTAAGTTTACATTGAGTTCACATAGATTATCTAAGTGGCTAAAATCTTGCATGTTCACAGCTTTCTTTTTCTTAAAAAAGTAAGTATAATCACATCTACTTCCACACTACTTTCTATATGACAAGATGTATTTTCTTTCTGTGAAGAACACTCAGGAAGACTGATGTTTGAGTTTTCCCTTTCCAGCTGAAGTCTTTGAAAACCTCAGACACAGAGGAAAATCTTTTTCTTTCTCTTTCTCTAGCCATAGATATCAAATCAAGCACTCTTGGAGAATTCCTTTTAGCCAGGCACAGAGAAAAGCTTTTTTCTCTATGAGGACAGGAAACAGAAATCCTCTTCTAGAGTGTTTCAGCCTGACAGAACTGCTGTAGATTCCCCAGAGCAATACACAATCCCCACACACCCACAGACCCCCACTGTGGGGAAGGCAGCGATCTAGCAACAAGGCCTTCCAAACACCAGGTTGGTTTAGAGCAAAAAAGTGGGCAGTGAAAAGCTAAATTATGCAGGAAAAAAGATTTGATTCCTAAGCAACTGATTTGGTTCAATCCAACATACTTTTCCCATAAACAATTAACTGGTTTCAAAACAGCTTATGGTTCAAATTAAATTTTATATTTTTCAATTACTTTGCATTTCCACATACAGCATTCAGGCACACATGTGCACAAAGATATTCCCCACATCTCATAAAACCAAATGATTTTCATATTTCATTTAGATCTTATAGAATAAGACAAAAAATACCTGTAAATTCATCTAATTCTTTTCCATTTTTTCTGCAAAGTAATAAAACAGGGTTATCTTTAGATAAAGAATCAGGATCAATATTCAAAAGGAACCATCAGTTGGTTTTAAGTATCTTAGAGATATTGTTAGATTCTATTGTAATATAATTTATTAATAAAAGAAAAACAAGAAAGGTGTTTAAACATTATAAAATGAACCTCATAGGGTTGGGTGAATAAGCGGATGGACAGAGGGAAGACAGATTGACAAATGGATGGGCAGATAAGAGATAATCACATTTTGATTCTACTTTTCCCTTCATACACACCAACTGACTCCCAACAGCATAAAACCTTAATGTGACTTTAGCACACTTAGAGACACGAGCTCATGATTTACCTCACTAAAAATTTCCTTCTTTCATAATACATGCAAAACAAGGCAAATGAGTACCAGCAGGCTCTTTATTTCCTCATAGATAAATGAACTCTGGGTGGAATTCCTGTGGCTTTCAAAGATGAACCACATCAAAACCACTAAGAAATGACAGACCACCATACAAAATGAAAGGAAATGAGAGGCGCACTAAAAACAGTGACCTTCAATTGAACTCCAAATGAAAAATGTTTAGAAACTAAAAAACAGAGAATTTACTGAATTTCAGCAAGGGCTTGAGGGGAAAATGGATATATTTTGACAAGTAAAGTTAAAAATGTTAAGTGAAATTGCTGCTTAACTAAAAAACCATGAAATATTAATAAAGCTGGCATTAATTTTTGGCTTTCTTATGTGTATGTGGGTGTGGTACTAAGGATTAAACCCAGGGGCTTCTCACTGAGCTACATCTATAGGTCCCTCGTCTTTTTTGCTTCTTTTGTATTTTAGAAAGGGTCTTGGTAAGTCACCACCTTACCCAGGTAGGGCTCCAATCTGCAGTCCTCTTGCCTCAGGCTCCCAGAGTGCCAGGATTACAGGCATGCACCACTACGCCTAGACTGGCTTTTTAATTTAATTTTATTTTATTTTTTGGTACCAGTGTTCAAACTCGGGTCCTTGCACTTGCAAGGCAGGCAGCAGAACCACTGAGCTAAATCCCTGGACCTAGACTCGCTTTCTTAAAGACACAGAAGGCTTGTTGTCCTGAGTTTGATCCCTGGTTCAAAAAAAAAAAAAAAAAAATCTTAGAATGTTCTGTTACTTGGGGAAAATAAAGCGTTTTTCTGAAATGTCAGTTACCATTAAGGTAAAGAAAATTGAAGAAATATAGAGGAAGTTTTTATTTTTTTTCATTTTATGTCATCAGGTTTTATTTTTAAATTGTCCCTAAAAACAAGACAGTAATGTTAGCACTGATTTTTCATCCTGTTTTTCCTCTTTTGCCTTCCAAAGATGCAAAGTTAACTCAACATGGGGGGTGGAAGGGTAATTTGTTCTAGGGAATAGAAAGCAAAATTATGGATTTTTTTTTTTTTTTTTTTTATGGAACCAGGGACCAAACTCAGGACCTTGCACTTACCAGGCAGGCACGGGCACTGAGATAATTCCCTGGCCCATGGATATTCTTAAAGAATATAAGAATAGGGCTATGGATTTAGCTCAGTGTTTCCGCCACCTGCCTTGCACGCGCAAGGTCTGGAGTTAGATCCATGGTATCAAAAAAATATATATATATAAGAATATAAAGGAGAAGAAAAACAGAAAAAACAGCTTTGCTATGTAGGAACAGATTCATCTGGGCTTGGTCCTCTCATAAGTAGAATCTCTTGCTCATCAAAGAGTAAAATTGATCACCTCTTTTGGGAACAAGTTTCAAATAATGTTAACACAATGTATTCTTTAATTGATAGAACATCACCTTTTTAAAAATTAACAATGATTTGACTTAACCAAGCAGAAATTACTTGGCAAGGCAATTTTAAAGCAATAAAACTTTAATGTAGCTTTCAATCTTTAAAGAGATTAACATGTGGTAATATTAGGGAGTTAAATAAACGTGATGCACACTTCCTCATAAATATGTACGATTATTAGGTGTCAATTAAAATTTTACTAGTAAAAAAGGAAAAGCAAATGTGATTAAGTTCAATAAAATTAATACAGATGTGTTTGATTCTAAAGGTAATAACTTAGAGCCAAGGACAGGCAGAGGCAGAGCAAAGTCAGCTCAGACGCTGACAGCTCTTCTCTCTCCCAATGAACACCTCTTTTTCCCGGCTTTGTCACTTTCAATACTAGGAACTAAAAGGACTTTGTAAGCATTGAGTCTATTGCAAGGCAATATTTTCATTAAAATTACCTAAACTACTGTGACTATATTGTACTAGTGAGTGGAAAATCTTCCTTGATATCCTGAGATTTGTGTTCTGGAAGAAATGGAGAAGTGGGGAGATGAAGCAGATAATCCATGAGTTCCTTATTAGTGAGAAAAAATTTTAATTTGAGGGGATTTATTATACCGTTTTTTCTACATTTGTGTAGGTTTGAAACTTCCCACAATAAAAACTTTTTTAAAATCCTCCTCCATTTTAAAATTTTACAAGACATTGAACACTATCTTCTACAATCAATGCTATTATAGCATATGAACTAAGTGGTAGTTCATTTTAGCTTTTCACAAAGAAATCAGTTCAGGCAATGTCATGAGATTTCTAATAAGCTGATGGCTGGAGCCATATTTATTAATTGTTCTCTTCTTGTTTAAATTTTTCTTTTTCTCATCTGTCCTTCTCATTAAACACTGACACAGCTGCCAGAGGACATACTCTTGCTACACAAGTGACTTTTAGGAAAAATTAATATTTATAATACTCAACAAATCAATGGAATATTTGAGTCTATTATTTTACTGGCCTGTTTTCAAAATTTTTCCCTTTACTTTAATTCCATTAATCTTTTCCCTCCCTATAGCTTTTTAAAGCCAGACTTATAGCTTTTTTAATTTGATTCTGTGGGTCTGACAAGCTCAATTTGTCTCACCTTTGCCTATATTTTTATCCTACCATAATTTCACCTGAAAATTACAAGTTAAAACAACTTTTTCCAAGTTCGATCCGCAGTATCAAAAAAAAAGAAAAACAAACAACTTTTTCCACTAAAAATAAGGTTACTGGCACCAAATTTTTAAAAAGGAAGAAGAGAAAATAAAAAGATTCCATTTAGGAAGCAAAGTACATTTCCATTCCTTCTATTCCCTATCCCATTCCCTAAAAACAACCAAATAAAGTATTTTTTAACTTTAGCACTGTAAGAATTAGACCAAGTTAGAACTGAGATTCAGGATTTTCAGTAAGGCAGGTTACTGTGGCTTTTCATGGGGGGGGGGGGTACTGGGGATCAAACTCGGGTACTTGACACCATGCTAAGTAATTTTTTATATCATTTCACACTTCTTACCAACCTGAAAAGTAGACATTAGTTTTCCCATTTTCTAGAAAGCCTCAGATACATTAAATTACTGCCCCAGTTCACACAGCTAGAAAGCTGTAGATTCCAGATTCAGTATGGTTGCATCTGATGCCAACTGATAAGATACAGCCATTTGAAACACAGGCACCTCCTGCCTTGACAGGGCCTCTTGAAAAGCTGCAAACAGATCAGATTTGCCTCAGATCCAGCTCAGATCTGAGGCACCTGCCGCTCCTTGAACTTCTCATCAGGCTTGAGAAGCCAGCAGCACTGGGCTCCTACTCCTGCCCACAGCAGGAGCCAAATCATCACACCATCGAATTAAGCCCACTGAGAAGATGGAGTTGTACAACAGGTATAATATTTTTAAGCTTTCAGAAAAATAGTCACAGATGTTCAACATCAGGAAGAGCTGATTTCAATCGTGTTGACAGTTTCCATACCGGAACTAGCTGCGATATCACCAGCCCCAGGCTCCCCAGCTCCAGGGTTGCCCCATCCATCCCCTTTGGTCAGGAACCAGACCTCAGCTGGAGCACCATCTGGTGACCCCTAGGACCCAGCACCAGCCCAGCCCTGGCTTCTTGGGGACAGTGACAGAAAGCAGTCCAGAGCAACAAAAAGAAGGCCTTCACTCTCTCCTGCTCCTCCCTCCGCTTAGCCAAAGGTAGAAAAACAAGGCACCTGGGACTCCGGGTGAGAAGACCTAGAGGAAATCAGCAGGTGCCGCACTTGAGACAATGAGCGTTACATTTCCAGAGCTGGCGCATTCCGGTCAAAGCAACATCCAACCCGCAGGCAAGCAATGACCCACTGAGAAATAAACCCAGGCGGGAGCAAAGATGAGGTGGACAATACTGAAAATGCAGTAGTGTAAATGGGCTATGAGTAGCCCTCATCCCTCCAAGTGCTGAGTAGCTGGAAAGGTACAGCCTCCTTGAGGGTTGGATCACTCAGTTCCCCATTTCCCCATAGTTTCAACTCCCGACAGACAAATACCGACTGAGGGATACCCACCACTACCCAGTCCCCCCGCCGACCCCGTTTTCCTTGTCTATGATACTGTCCTCTCTATGCCAAACCATCTTCGAAAGATAAAGAAAACTAATTCAGCTAGAAAGTTTCAAATTACTGGCTGCTTTTTTCCCTCTCCAGATAACCCTGGTTATTCAGTTTAAAAATTTTATTTTTAGTGTTTTTAAAGCCAATTTGTCTCTGTATACTTCACTTTTATCCCTCCATTTTCCACAAGGTTTGTTCGTGTTGGTTTGAATATGTTTTCTGACTGATGGACACTCTGTGGGTCTCATGTGAAAGGCTAGGATGTCTAGAGATGAACACCTAAGACAACAGACCCATTCTGTCTGTCATCCCCAGAGCCCGAGAAAACCTTTTGGGGTTTCTGTGAGAATGTGAGGGAAGGAACAAGCAGCAAATGTCTAGGAGGAGGAAGAGTCATCTGGATCCCACAACCTAGTTTGCCTGTAGGGCACTGGGCTTCCTAATCAAAAGGGAATTGGATGTCTGAACCCCAGAAAGCTCTACAAGAAGGGAGCACCCACAAGGTGGAGCACAGAGGCTAATGTTCCTCATGTGATAGGAATCAAAATTTCCATGCTCAGATTCTTATAGGAAATTATAGTGGTCTTTTTCCTTTTTCACTCCTGTTAGGGGACACACACACACACACACAATACAGCTTCACAAACCTCCACCCTTTCACAACCATGAGCAGTGAGGCCACACCTCTCACTTCCCTTCACTCCCTTGGTGTCGCTAGGGGTAAGAAGCCTCCAGTGGGAGGTGGAGTGACCATCAGTAAGTGGCATCCACACACGCAGAACCCTGATACCTTCCCCTCATCCCTCAGAGACCTAATCTAGTATGCCAATTTGGAGATGGAAGTTCCTTGTCCCAAGAGAAAGGAACTTTATATCTAAACTACATCCAGACCAGTTTCTCCTTCATTCATATGTACATTTTAAGAAGAGCTGCTATAAATTCATTTCCTCTATAAGGATTTAGACATGTTAATGGAATCAGCATCCAAGAAAAAATGGAACCAGCGTGTAATCCCAGCACTTGGAAGGCTGAGGCAAGAGGATTTGCTGTGAGTTCAAGGCCAGGCTGAGCTACATAAGGAGTTCAAGGCCAGCCTGAACTAATAGTGAGACCCTATCAAAAGAGAGAGAGAGAGAAATTAAATCACCAAAAAGAACAGAGCTCAAAGGACCCTCCACCATTGTTATAGCAAGCTTTTGTGTGCAGATGTAAGCAGCAAGACTGAATGTGCTTATGCCATTTCCTTGTCCTCGGCTGTCACCACACCAAACCACAGCCTGACCACCTTCCTTGTAACTCTCAAGACTCATTGCTAGGTTCCTTGGCTCTGGGAAACTCCTCCAGTCCAGATTAGGTGCCTTCCTGAATGTGTGCATGGCCTGTGTACCTTTTTAGATATCCACTTGCCACATGCTATCGAGATACCTGTGTACACTCAGAGCAGAAACTGCTTCTTTTTCCTACTGTCTCCAGTCCCTGGCACACATGCTCAATGAACACTTACTAAATACAAATGGTGAATCATCACCTACTGGTCTACCAGCCTCAGCCCCTTTTCTCTTACCCTCCTCTTTCTCTAGTCTTTACAGATTAACTGAGGCTCTCAGATTTGGTTGCACTAAGTATCATGTCAGGATCTTTCAAAAAACATATTTTTTTGACCCAACCCCTAGAAAATTCTGATTTAATTGTTCCCCTGTGGAAACTGGATATAAATGTTCTAAAAGGGACTCCCTTCTGTGGCCTGGATAGAGCCACCCTGTAACATTCTCTTGTCCTCTGGTCTCTCCCTCAGATATTTCATACCCTCAAAATCTTCTCCTTATTTTTCTTTTTTAAACTCATGTTCACATTCAGTGTGCCTCACAGACATTACTTATCCTTTTGTTTAAATTTCTCATAAAATAGAAACGGACCCTGACTATTCAGGTCTATTGCTCAGTGGATTCCCTTGGCTTCCTGTCACATTTCTCTTGAACTGGTTGAAGCAGCAAGCACAGGATTTGAGACTGATGGGGTTCACTCAGAGTAGAAGTGCCACAGAGAAAACTTACCCAGCAGAATGAGCATAACGCCAGCCAGCTGGGCCCGCCTGTACTTGGCCACACCTGGCTCGTGGCCCATTCGGATGCAGGGGAGAACAGTCAGCAGCAGCAAAATGGCCGGCAGGCCTAGAACTGAAGCCGCAATCATCAGGGCTCGGCAAGCCTGCACGTAGCCTGCCGACAAGAAAGTGGAGAGGGTGGGTTACACCAGGGATCCTCTTGGTTCCTGAGTCCTGCCCCCAGAAATTCAGCACTGCCTTCCTTTCTTCTTCTCACCCCCTCCTCAAGACTTCTAAATGTGCTTAATGTTATCCAAAATCACTACACACCTTTAAAGCAACTTAGCAACAGATAGGGAAGCTAGGGAATTGGAATGGGGATCCCTGATTTAGATCACTTGGTGGAGCTTTGAGAATGGAGAGACTCTTGTCTATTATTATATCGCCTCCTAAAAGATTCAGATGAGGGCCCAGGATATAGCTCAGTGGCACCACACCTGCCTCCCAAGCGCAAGGTCCTGAGTTGGATCCCTGGTACCAGAAAAAAAAGAAAAAAATTACAAGATTCAGATGAAAACTCAAATCTGCAAAGAAAATGAATGGTGATCTCTGTGTTGGCTCCAGTCTGCTGTTGATTTGCTCTATGTATGACCTTGTTTTACTTTCCTCATCTATAATGTGAAAATAATATGCCTACATCTCTCTGACAGAATTCTACTGAAGGGTAAAGCTACTAAATTCTACTGAAGGGTCATTCATTCCCACAGTTCCTAGAACAATTACTATGCCAAGTACTGGAAGGGGTGAGCTATTAATGTTGGTGTTATTACTGTGTCAGTGCAGTGCTTTTATCTGCAGATGTACTCAATGGCTTCTGTCTTGAACCATGTGCTTTTAATTCACATGGATATGAACAATGCGTAGTGGTGAACTCAGCTAAACTGCAACTTAAACCTCTGACTTCCTCTCTCTGCTCTCTGCAGAGGCTGCCATTCTGATGAAACTTGTTCGCCGCAGCTGGTCAGGCTCCAACTCCTGCCTCACCCGCGGTGCCCAGCATGTTTCTCCAACTGTCCATCGTGGTCTAGAAGTTACTTCTCCAGCCCTGAAGAGCTTGGAGGGCAGACACCTGCTTGGTTTTCGTGTCCCCACAAAGGGTGATGTAAACAAGCAATTACAAATGAACAAGTGAATTGAACAATAAAAGAGTAGAGCAAAGCTATCTGACGTTTATGCTGTCAAATATAATGCTAAGTAACAACTTTATTAAAAAGCAGATCATATTATGTACAGTATTCATGTAGAATAAATCTGATAAGATACTGGGGGAATTTCACAGACTTAATTGGGTGTTTCACACTTAAATTTATTGTTTCTCATCAAAACACTCTTTTTTAAAAAAAAAAAAAAGTGGTACTTTTTTTAAAAGTGGCATTTATTACCCTCCCTTTTTTGCTCAGGGAGGCAGAGTTAACGGCAAAGCCAAAAAAATGTGGCCCCAATTCTGCCTCACATACCAGGACTCTCATTTTCAATCCAGCGAGTCTTCGTTGGGCACCAAAATCTGACTTGAATACTACTTCTTAGCAAGGTATGTTTTGCCAGAATCCACACACCACACGGCTCTTTTCCGTCTCATCTCAGTTTCTTCAGAATTAAAGACAATCAAGCAAGTATCTCTTGATTTGAAAACCCCCAGAGAGGAGGGGGAGAAGCCTGAGACCGAACCCCTCCCTGCTCCTGCAGCTTGTAGGCCAACCAGAGCTGACACAAAGGATGCAGTCACCCAGCACCCGAGGTTCTGAAATTCGTGGCACAGGCCGTCCACACACTTTGGTGCCAAGGTCATATCTGGAAGTTAAAAGATTGAGACTGACTCTACCCCCACTCAAAGCATAAGGGAGGGACAGCAGGAAGGATTAGGCTCCCCCTCAAAAAAAATGTGCTAGGGGGGATGTTCTCTGAAAACAAATGACTTGGCACTGAATGCTCAGTAAAATTAACTCCTGTAGAAACAGAGAATAAATGTATGCTTCATTCAAAGGTCCCTACAGATTTCACACCGAGCTTTACTTTTTAAAATTGTAGCTACCACTTCTGGAGCATCTACTACACCAAAGGAAGTTTATATTTCTTCTCTCATTTAAACCCCAGAACAATTCTGAAAGACAGGCTCTTGGTTCAGTTTTAATTTTTAAAAGAGAACAACTGAGGTTCATTGAGGTTAATAGTTTATCTCAAATCACCCAGCTCGTGAGTGCTGCATCTCAGGGGTCTGGCGCAGGTCTACCAAGGTCAGCTTTAACTGAAGCTGGATCCAGATGTAGGTTCCTCAACTTCTGTCCTTCTGAGAGTCCAAAATGGAGAAGAGAATAATGAAAGGCAAGCCTGACTGGTGCGCCGGAAGCACACACTATGCACCTGAGTCAGTGCCGGGCCCAGGAGAGGGCTCAAAGTGAGGAGGGCCATCTGCATCTTCAAGGAATTTTAAATGTAGAATATAACTCAGCAACAACGAAAAGACAAACAGACAAAATGTGCTGTGACAAGGATGAGAGTCAAGTACTTGGGCACCAAGAAAGATTGATTCCAACTGCCAGACCTGGGAAGTAGGGAGCACTGGGGGGCACTTATAGGGGTGCAGAGTCTCTGGGGAGTGAGAGACTCTTCAAAAAGAAGGCACAAAGTGAATGCCTCCCAGATGGGCGCCTTCAGGACCGGGTTCCCGTCTAAAGGAAGCCTGGACAAGCCTCTCCCTCCTCAAAGCTGAGGGGAACGGAAGGGCGCCATGCAGGAAGCAGAAGCCAACCCGGTAGGAGAGACTCCCAGCGGAAAACCTGAAAGGCGCCCTTGAACTTCCTCTTCAACCAACTGGCTGTTGGTTTAAACCAGAATTGAAACTGTGACCCAAAATTTTTCCACAGAACGGCAAACAAAGATGGGGCCCAGGTCGGCACCGGGAGGCTGGCTGTCAGTCCTGCCCTTCACTCCCACCCGGAGACACAGCTGGGGCTGGGACGACTTCAGGAGCCGCTGTGCCCCTGGAGCACCCGCTCCTCCCAATCCCACTAGAGCAGGGCCGATGGCGGCAGGGTCCCCGAAGTCCCGCGGTCAGACCCCCCCACCCAGCCGAGACGGGTGGGGATGGAGGAGATCGACCGGCTGTGGGGACTGCGAGAACCATCCGAGGGTCTGCTCAGCGGGCAGCCAGAAAACCCTCGGGCCGGGCGCGCACGGCTCGGCGGCGGGCGGGGCTCGGGGCGCACTGACCCTTTCGGGCCGCGCACCCTCAAGGACCACACCTGCTGCTCCTGCGTGAATTGCCCAGGCGCTGGAGTCTCCGATGCCCCTCCCGTCTGCGCGACCCTGAGCAGAAGCAAGGAGCCTCCGGGAGGAGGCTGGGCTAGGGCGCTGGGGAAATTCGGGTCCATGGACCGCGGTGCAGGAGGCGGGTGGGGCGATGGGAATTGACAAGGAATATGTGCCTATAGCTGCCTGCCTCTCAGTTCATTAAATCCTCAAAGCGCCTAGGTCAGCACTGGACCAATTACTATTATTATTCCAAATTCCAGATAAGAAAACTGAGGCCGAGAGGGGGTAAGCTTAGGGCTGCCTAACTGCTATATGATAAAGTGGGACTGGAGGTGTCAAAAATGTGCCCAAAGGCCTTTAAGCCCCAAAATGTTTCTGTGAACGTCAATGGCCCCCTCTCGGGTCTGGCCTGAGAGTACGGGTTCCGAAGCGGGGTGCTTACCCGGCAGGATGAGGATGTCCACCAGGGGCTTGCAGTGGTACAGCCCGGTGGCCATGACGCAGTCGGCCCACAGCCCCTTGGAGCCCAGTTCGTCCAGCTTGCGGCAGGTAGGGATGGTGTAGCCGCAGGTCACCACCCAGTCATTGGTGGATGTAGTGACAATGATGCCGATCCAGCCCACGAAGCTCGTGACGAAGCCCACCACCTGCAGGCACGTGGCCACCATGGTGGTCGCCCCGACGTCCACGCTCCTCGCCCCTAGCCGCTGTGCCCGGCCCGCTGGCTGGACAGCGCCTGCCCTGGACCTCGCTCGGCTGCGCTCCGGAGCCGCTAGCGGGCAATCGCCCGAGGCTGGACACGCGAGGCGGCGGCGTGGGCCGTGAAAGGCCGAGAGCCCAGATCCGACGGCGCGGCGGGATCACAGCGGGGACAGCGACGAACGCGCGGCAGGGACCGGAGCGCTGCTGGGCAGCGCGTCCCCGCCCCCTCTTTAAACCGGGTGGCCGCGGCTGGCGAGCACCAATCGGCGACAGCCGCGAGGAAAGCCGGCCAATCGCTGGCGGGGTCCGAAGTGGAGTGTGGAAAGCAGCAAGGTAAAGGGGGGTTGGGGGGCTTGGGCCTCCTCCTCCCCCAGCCCGGGCCGGGCGTCTCGGCGGTCAGCGCTGGAAAGTAAGAGTTCGATCCAGGCTTAAGAGGTGGCGAACTCAGAGGGGGCGCGAGTCAGGCGAGTTCTGCTTTGCTGAGAATTGTTTCTCATCTTGCAGCCCGTCTCTCGTCTCCGTCTCTGGGTCTCCCTTTGTTCCACGCTCCTCAGCTTCTACCCACTTGCTCCTTCTTCCTAGCTGTGAACACTCCCAAGGGTGCCCAGTACAATTCTCCCGCGGTCCGGGATTCTGAGTCTTAACTGCCCTGCTGGACAGAGCCAAAGCCTCCAGTGCACCATCGTAGTTAAAAATGATCCCCACTCCCACCTCCCGCAGGTGGGAAACCATCAGAGGCAGCCATGCCCACAAGAATGGTGACAGCAATAACAAGCTCTCATTCCATTGTATATTATGTGCGTGTGTTTTACGTGTAATAGTTCATCTAATTCTCACAACCTTTGTGGTAGGAACAGTTGTTGATTGTGCATAATAAGCACGAAAAGACAGCAAGAGAAAATCTAAGTGGCCCGAATTCCCACAGCAAGTATGGAGAAATTTTCATGGGCCCATCTCACCCTCCTAAGTAACCATTCCTGGGATGATGTCCCAATTATCACTTTCTGAAAATTTGTAAAGGGCTCAAGTGTTCCACTTCAGATACATTACAAGTTAGGCTGACTGCTCCAGCTGACTGTCAAGTTGATATCTGTATTCCACTGAGAAAACTGCTTAGCCTAGAGTGAGGGTATAAGTGTAAACTATCATCATCATCATCATCACCAACACCATTCAGCCACCTTCTGTCCAGCATTCAAACGTGCCGCCTTCTCTGCACTTCTTACCCTGTACTCCTTAGACTGTGTTTACATTAAACAGTTTAAACTCTCTCAGAAATATTTGACTTACTACATCTCTTGATCTGCTCATTTGGACCCCTACCTCCTCTCCAATCACGCAGTTTAAATGCGTAAAGGACCATTAAGGTGTAAACGACTTCAGCAAGAACAAGAACATTCTTCTCAACATTGTAAAATCTCAGATACAGGTCATAAATTACAGGTGCTGAGCTTCCCATAGCCTTTCCTAATGCAGAGTCATTGCAAATCACAATTGGCCTTGAGACAGTCGTGTTTTAGTGGAGGACACAGAGGAGTCAAGTGCACAAACAGAAATGGCTCCATGATAGGCACTGCCAACAAGAGCCACAATGATTCCCCATGAAGCACGGGTATTGCAAACACAGGTCAGGCTGCTGAGTTTAAACCCTGGCTTAGGGGCTGGGGATTTAGCTCAGTGGCTTCGCCGCCTGCTGTGCAAGCGCAAAGACCTGAGTTTGATCCCCAGTACCAAAAAAAAAACAAAAATGAATAAACCCTGGTTCCACTACTTCCTAGCTGTGGCACCAAGTTACTTCCCTGTACTTTATTTTCTTTTCTTATTTGTAAAATGAAGTTGAAAATCTTGCCTACCTTGATGATTATCTTAATAATCTTTTCTTTCCATTTACATAAGTATTTTATTTATACACACACAAACAAAAAACTCAGAATGGTCCTTAAGCATGTGAGCTAAAAATGAGATCTGTTTTTGAGTTTGACTATGGATAATTTTCCCAATATTTAGAAAAGCAGAGGAAACATAACAGGCTATCAAACGCTGTTTTCTGATAAAGGAAGCAACTACAGGAGAAAGCTTTTTATTTGTTCAAAGTAACCAGTGCTATTGATGCGAAACAAAACCCAACAACTTCCACAAATACTTTCAAAACCAACATATTAAACTTGATTTTCATTAGAATGCTGTTTTTTTCACACTAGTGAATCAAACACCAAGAC